TCACTGCTGGTCACCAAGATGAATAGAACATCGTGGATTTTCGGTTGTGCTGAGTCGTCCATCTAGGAACCTATCTGCCAAAAGATTACTGGCAGAAAAATTACCTAGTGGTTAAGTAGTTCTTACTTTTTATGATTCTAAACTTCAGTCCACCAACTACCTTTTTCAGAAACTATATCCTTTGAGGAGTATGAATTTATGGTTGTGATGAAAGTGTTAGAGTTTGATTATTGAAATGGAATTTGTACTAGATTATATCGTTGAGCTTAATTTGTGATTTAAGCCGTGAGCTCAGTAAAGAACACAAACTTGATCCTTCACTATGCCTCTCTGGATCTGAGGGGAGATCATGTATATGGACATGAGTAGAAATAGATGTGATTGATAGCTTATTTCGATTATATCTGAGAAGTGAATCGGGAATTCAGAAAACCGATCTGAAGTAAGGATAATGTCGAAAATTTAAATTCTTTATTCACTTTGTTGAACCTCGAGTTTTGTGATGGACAGTAATTCCATTTCAGTTGGTTTATTCAATATATCATAAAGTGCAACAGCACAGTTTATAGGATTAATTAATTTATTCCCTATTATTACAACAGGGGTAACTACACCTCTTTGAAACATGATTATTTAGTTGTCTTTACATGATAACAAACAACAAATTGTCTAAAAGTAAACTGGTAGACAATACATTCCCATTTTGTGATACACCTAATATTCTGTTTGAATGGAATGAAATCCATTTTTACCCCCCCCCCCACCCCACACCTTCAACTGTTTGCTGTCCTCAGTTTAATTCATGACCAAACTGACCACTTTAAAGTGGCAAGAATAAAAGAAACCGTGCTTTCAATAAGATAATTTATAACAAAATGATTTATTCAATCCATAAGGGAAAAATATGAACAAGTGCCATTGCCCTATATATATATATATATATATATATATATATATATATATATATATATATTGGAATGAACATAATTGCAAACAGAAAACCGAAAGAACGAATAAATAATTCTTCAATAAAAGCTGACATTTCATCTGTCAACTCTGGACAAACATTATTTAAATGGATTACAATCAGGTCAATTTTCTGTCCATAAAAAGGATGACCTGCTGAATGGTTTAGTGATTACTGCTTAAGGTCAGGCATATTTGTTCCCATTTGTTCCATCATTATCTAACAAAAATTGGTCAAGGGTTCTTATGAGATTAGTCAAAACAACTATTGTATGGACAAACGTGACCACTCTGAAGGACAAATCAAAAGGACTTTACTAATGAGATCTTATACAGGCTTTTGAAAAGACAAAATGCTATGGGAAAATAATGAAGATAAATACCAGATTATTTCAGCAGACAAATTTGAAACCGAAAATTTAGCGAGGGTAAACCCGAAGCATATTTTACACCAAAATCCTTCAGTGGCCACTTCGATTTAGAAAATTTCAATTTAAGAAAATCTCAAGGCGAAAAATGAATGTGTAGAAGCTTTCTTCATCTTTCACATACTTTAATGGGGGAATATCGAGAACTAGCATTGAAGATAGTCTCCTGAGAAGGAAATAGAGCTCATTCATGCCTTCTCTGTCTTCAAAAATTAAAACTGACGGTATATTTTATACAAACGAAACCATTTATAATAAATTTTATATTCAAATAATAAGGATGTTTCTCATTTTAAAATTTTAACTTGTAAGTGGTAAAGAATTTAATCTCAACTCAATTATTTTTGTATGATTATTTGTAGTTGGATATACAGCTCTCTGCGCCTATCCGAGTTCACCACACAATCATTCCCAATTCATACCAATACAAACAGATCTGAATTTGAATTCGTATTATCATGAACAGAAAGCCGGTAATAATCCCGTATTTAGTCCATATTTAAATAGAAAATTCCAAGCATCACATAATAAAATAAATAATTTTAGCAGTTCAAAACAATTACCACATTCAACAACAACAATGACTTTGCAACAATCTAGATTGCCAGCTGGAGTAACAGTAATAACACCAGGATCATGTTTCGAGGCAACATCTTCTTACTATAGCCATTCAGGCATAACAAATACATGTCATATATCCTACCCATCAATGCAAGCAATATCTTCGTCATACGATGTTGGACAAAATCCCAGTATTTGGACAGATAAATATGAAGACTTTGAAAGTGATAAAGAATTAGCAGCACTTTCAAAGTTAACTGAAAATTCACGAGGTTGTTGGAAACCAAAATTAGCAGATGCGTATGCAGAAAATTCCTTTGTCTAAGTTAATCATACTTGTTTTATCATTTCTTTTTCTCAATATGTAACTCGTAACTTTTGTATCTGAACTGTTTCTCTTGATCTTATTTAACTTGCCTTTCACGCAAAACCGGAAACCATATGCACTTTCAATACACTTGCAAACATGACAAAAAGCAAGAGAAATGTAAATCCAAATGGCATTTTGTTTGATAATATGAAATCATCCTTTTTTATTATTTACTTATTTACAAAAAGGTCACTTTTATTTCTCTTATTTTATGTACAGATAATGAAACAGGTAATAAATTTTCAGTTAGTTCTTTGTGATCAAAGTAATATTTTTGGAAGCTATAATAGTGATCCTGATGCGGACATGCAGATGGACATAGAATCATTATATGAAAACAATTACTACCTTCATTCAAATGTACGGCACTTACCCTTGATGAGATACAGATATTTTATAGTTATAATCTGGTTGCAATAACCAACTGTGGGTAGTGTCAAACAAGATTTTAGGCTAAAAATCATTGCATGTAATAAAAAACACCTCCTATTCAGCTGTGGTTGAAGAAATGCTATAGTCAAGAAACTGGCTTGGAGATGAAAAGAGAAGACAGAAGTAGTGTAAAAAGAAGATAATACCTCTAAAATATTGTAAGCTGAAGTAATTTTAATCAAATACTCTGGAATATAAAAATATTTATAAACTTCTATCATGGGTGTTTGTGAAGTCGTGGACACGTTTGCTTGTGACATGATTTACTGTTCTAGAAAAACTAATCAAACCTAAATCATTAGTACATCTTTTTCTTCAGTTTCTTCAACGAATTGTTTGTATCGCAAATAAGAAGGAGGAAGTTGTCATACAACATCGCCTAGTTAACTAGTTCACTAGTTACTAGCCGGCCCTAAGCCCGAGTAAAGAGGAAAGGTTGGGCATACGGCTAGCAAACCTACCCTGTAAAACAAATTCAACCGCTAAACAAACTTCAAAGCACAAAGAGAATATAAAAAATAAAAACAAACTTATTCCTCCCTGGAATTGGAGAGGGGAAAGGACGCCGGTTGGTGAAAGCCTGTCTTCCGGGAGCCAATTGGCCAATATGTCTTCTCTCCCTCGATGGAAGCGAAGTAAATGTGGGAAAATGTAATGTTCGCACCATGTTTGAATCTACCGAGGCTGCACAGATTGCAACGGAGATGAGAAGCTATCACAGTGAAGTGTTAGGAATTTGCGAGAGCAGATGGAATGGAAGTGGACTCTCCAAACTGTCAACTGGAGAGCAGAGTCAATAATCACCCAGATGACAACTACGAGCACACTGAAATTTGGAGTGGCTATCATGATATCCCCTCCCATGAGCATAGAGGGCTCTCATGCAGTGGGAACCAATATCCTCCAGGATTATAACAGCAAGGTTAATTCGACTAAAAAGGAAGGGAAGTCACAATCATTCAATGCTACGCACCTACAAATTCTGCAGGTGAAGGGAAGAAAAGGGAATTCTACAAACATCTGCAATCAGCACTGGACAAGACCCCAATCCGTTGGCCACATCGAAATTCTAATTTGCGACATGAATGCCAAAATGCGAGGAGCAGACAACGCAAGAAGAGAACCAACCATGGGTCGAGAAGCGCTCAGTGAAATGAATGAGAATGGAGAATTGTTTGCAGAATTCTACAACTTCAACGATTTGGTGATTGGAGGCAGCGTGTTCAAGCACATGGACATCCACAAAGCGACATGGATTTCACCAGACACCAGGACACACTAAAAATCGGATCGAGTTCAACTCAATGTGAAGAAAGTGGAGATGTAGCCTACTGGACACAAGATCAGAACAACAAGGGGAGCAGATATAGGTTCACATCACTCAATACCTACTACAAGGAACTTACAAAGTCAATTTAAAAGCCTTCAAGGAAGTTGGTGATATAACACAGTCCAAGTACAACACTCGGAAACTGAAGGACGAAAATGCAAACTACATCTTCACGTCAGCCATCAAGACAAAATGGGAGATATCGAGCAAGATTCCTGAACAAACCTGTGTGGATGAACACTGGAACTCTTGAAAGCTATGTGGAAAGAAAGCTGCATAACGGTGTTAGGAAGGAAGAAGAAGAGGTGAGATAAGGAATGGATCTCAACGGACACATGGAAGTTGATGGAGGAGGGAGAGGAAGATGTTGAAGCAGAAGATGGACCAGTGTAGTGCAAGGATGAACAACGAGAAGAGGAACTGGGAATAACGTATAAAACGTTGAACAAAGAAGTGAAGAAGAGTGCACGAAAGACGAAAGACACTTCTACGATGCACAGGCAAGTGAAGCAGAACAGACTGCAGGTAGGAGAGACAGAGTCTTGACAACATTGTATCAAATGACCAGGTTACTATCTGGGAGGGAAGAGATTAACACAGATGAAATCAATGGAAGATAGTGAAGAAAACCCAGTCACCACCAAAGAGGAGGAACAAAGGAAACGATGTTCTGACCACTTTAGAAAACTCCTGAATCGACCACCACCATCACCTGCACTTCGTCCAGAAATACCACCTGCAGCTCAATCACAGAACTACCAGTGATCACAGGCCCCCCAACGAAAGTCGAAGTCCTGAATGCATGAAGCTACTGAAATGTGGAAAAGCAGCAGGACCAGATGAAATGCCACCAGAAGCACTGAGAGCAGATGCAGAGACAACAGTGGACATGCTCACACCACTATTGCAGAAGGTCTGGAAGGAAGAGAAGGTACCTGGTGATTGGAAGATGGGTTGCCTTGTCAAACTCCCGGAGAAGGGCACCCTAAGTGTTCACAAGAACTGGCGCGGAATCACTCTCCTGTCAACCAAGGCAAGCAAAATATTAAGCCGCATCATCCTGGAGAAACTAAAGGATGCACTAGTTTCAAAATTACTACCCGAACAGGCTGGCTGGTTTCAGGAAGTACAAATCATGTGTGGACCAAATTGCAACTCCATACTTCACATCATCATAGAACAGAGTATAGAATGGCAGTCAACCCTCTATCTCAACTTCATCGATTTTGAGAAGGCTTTTGACAGCGTCGACTGAGAAGTAGTTTGGCAGACAACTGTTTCAACACGAAGGAATACCACAAACCTTCATCAGCCTCATTCAACAGCTGGCTATATGAAGACGCCAAGTAAGATGCCAAGTAGTTCACAATGGCAGGCTCAGTGATGCCTTTGAAGTGAAGACAGGAAGGAGTAAGACAAGGATGTCTACTATAACCCATGATATTCCTGATTGTGGTGGACTGGATCATGCAACAAACAGTGAGGCGCTGTGAGAAGAGGGGGAAACACTGGCTGGACCAGGGAAAACAACCTAGAAGATTTGGATTTCACCGACGACTTATGTTTAATGTCACACAAACTTGAAGATGAGAAGGTGCAAACTAACGAGTTGACAGAGGAGACAGGGCAGTGAAGACGGGACTTCAAATGAACGTAGAGAAGACAGAGGTAGTGAAGATACCTAATTAACAACGCCACCACCAACAACAGAAAGCTCCAATCAGCATGAATGGGAGGAACTTAAAGAAAGTAGCCTCCTCCACCTATCTGGGCAGGCAGCATCGTTTTAACTACAGGCGGTGGCACAGATGAGGACGTCAAAACCTGGATCGGAAAAGCAGCAAGACAGGCGTTCATTAAGCTGAAACCAGTGTGGAGATCTTCTGCACTCAGCATCAAGCGTGAACATGATCCGGATCTTCAACATCAAGTGAGTGCTTCTGTATGGTTCAGAGACTTGGTGCTTTACGAAAGGGATTTGCAGCAAACTACAGTCATTCATCAACAGGTGCCTACGTTGGCTGTTTACTGAAGATCAGATGGCCAGAATAACAAGAATGAGAAACGAGGAACTCTGGCTTGTTGACGAGCCCTTCAAGAAGCTATCGTTGAACAAATATGCAGACGGAAGTGGAGATGGATTGGGCATGCACTGGGAAGTCCATTGGGGGACGTGACGCACCAGGCCAGGCACTTGATTGTAACCCAGATGGAAAACGACGAGTTGAGCGTCCGAGGGTGACATGGAGGAGATCGTGTGAAGAAGAAATGTATTTCATAAATCGTTTAGAAACCAATACATAGTTTTGCAGAAATTTTATGCGAGTAAATGGGAACTCTCTTATCATAGTTATTCTCATTGTAAAGTAGGCTGGATTTTATATGTTCAAGAATATTTTGTTCAAAGTAATCAGACAAAATTAGTCATCTACTCATATTATGGTTGCCAACCTGCCCTTAGATGTCTCTATTATTAAAATTTCTATATGCGTTTTACCCTATTTAACGGCATTCTGCTGTCTCTTACTCGTGTCAAAATATAAAACGTGCTTATTCCTGAAATAAAACACATGAACAGTTGAACAGAATATTTGGAGGACAAATATTGACATACTATATCATTTCATCGTTTAGCTATAACAGCCTAACAACCGGCATAGTTAGGAATGGTAAAATAATCATAAACATTTTGTATCTATATGAGATAAGAAAAACAAATCCGTAATCTGGCCTTATGAAATGTCAGGTGTTCAGATATATGTACAGGGTCAGTCCTATGATTTTCTGAGTACATGACTTCGAGTTCATCTAGTTAACTGGAAACGACTCTGTTCTTAAAATTAACTTTGTAGTGAAGTTATACAGAGCAGTAGAAAATGATTCACTGGCATTAAGTATCCTTCGCACCAGGTGATGCTGGGTTCCCACTCATACTGAATACATTCAGCCTGATTTTTGATTTGTCATTCAGGGCTGAATATTATGTTTTTTCCTAAGTCAGTGGATAGAAAGATTGGCTCTAAGTGTTGGCATCATAACTTCGGATGAACTTACAGGTGTATTGTGAGCTGGGATGGAAAGAATTTTGCTGTTTAGTTGTTGGCACTAGAAGTGAAAACATCCTTCAGGTTGAATGACGGAAAATAGCAAACAAAGTGCGTTTCACAGTTGACCGACACCATCGGGCTGCATTATCTGGTCACCTTTGAATGACCATGGGCATTTTTTATATATCGTCAATATTCAGTTAGGCCAGAAGTTCTGTCATTGATAACTTTGTCATCCCATACAGGCAGGTTAATTTATTCTTTCCCATCCGCTTATCATACAGACGCACAATCTTTAAATCCATTGTGACTAATCTTCCTTAGTTTGAATTAAACGTTGTTTTAGCTTGTTCGAATCGCAGAAGTCAACTATAAATCTAGTTTCATTCGAGACTATGACTACCACAGAATAGTTTTCTGAAATTTCTCAGTATTAGTTCATTTATCATATGTTTTCCATATAACCTATCCCTACCTCAAGTTTCGATGATGTACAATTGTTTTTAAATTGAACAACATCAAATAGGTTTGTGGAAACATGATGAATCGAGAGTATTTCATTCCATTTAATTTAGAAAAGCAGTGGAATCTACTATTAGCCTCCGCACAGGAGCCCATATGTCAATAGAGACCGATCAGTTCCGTCCAATCAGTGATGGTATAATGGAAGCAAAAATACTAAAATTGTACCCGTCACACGAGAAGTGGTTATAGTGGTTTAATGGTGAAATTTATAACGCTCTGGTGTTTGAAGCGATTGCTCAAAAGTTCGAATCCCCGTGAGAACAAAATCACTCACTGGGAGATAGATACATCCCTCAGACTAGTCGCAAACAGGATGAAATGCACATCCGAGACTTCACTGCTAGCCACTATCCATCATTACTATGTGAAATATAAACGTTGGATAGAAGGCAATATCATAAGGCGGGAAATGATAAATGTATACAATACTGTATTTTTAATCCAGAGTTTTGTGGTCAAGTGAGACGATATTTCTGGAGTGATTTTGTTAACAGACTGTATAATATCAAATAAAAATTTAAGGAAGTATTAGTGTGACAAGAAAGGAAGACAAAAACTGAATCCAACTCAATAAGTTAAGATTACAACTAATTCTAGAAAAAGGAAGGAGTGGATTTGTTCACATTATAACCTAGGCATTTGAAAGCTAACCACAGATGTTTTCTGAATACAAGTTCATATTTTAACATACTAGTTGTACTTGCATCCCTGAAGTGAATTGTGTTGTTTATTCCTTTTTTAAAATACAGTTTAAAATTTTTACTGAAACAATTAACGAAGAATTCCGCACAGTTCTTTTTTTGCACATTCGCTTCATGATACTATGATAATCAGTGTTTGCTAGCAAGGAGAGAAATTATATCGAAATTTGTCATCACACCACTTTCTCTTACAGTTACATCAACAAGTTTAGAGTTTCATTTTTCTGGGTACTTAAAAGTCAATGGAAATACAGTAAGGAGATTGTTTGCACATTTTCATTAGGAAGAATAAACTCCAATCGATAAGTATCTAAACCAAGTTGGGATTTGCTGGTCTGAAAAAATTTGGACATTAGGTAAATGACATTCATTATTCCGATATTTTTACTTCTGAATGAATGTAAAATAAAATTATTTTAACTTATGTTTTGCTATTCATTGCTAATATCCTTATCAAAGTTACAGTAAACCGGAATTTACGATATTCAAGCTTTTACATAACAATTTGATATAAATTTCGATAACGCTATTAGAAGACGAAGATTATCTGAAAAATGTGATGTATTTGCGCAATACATTTCGAACAATCTGATCACACATTTACTTGTCAAGTCAATTTATATATGAAAATTAAAGGTCAAATGTAGTGAATATGAAAAGGTTGTGACACTAGTCTTGGTAACATCGGGAGGAGTAATCGTTCAATGCAGACTAGGGTGGGTGAACACATCCCCAAATGGCTAGAAAAACAGTTTAACACACAAACTTTGATAAGTGCAGGTGACAGACATCCATCGTCATCTATAGCAAAACATTATTGAAATGAATCACAGGGTTAATATGAAAACAGCGTTTAAGATAATATACAGGAATAATCAGGGGCGTATACTGAAGTTTGCCGAAGCGTTAGCCATTCGTAAACTTAATCCCCCGCTGTGTGTACAAAAACAGTTTGTTGTTTCACTTAATTTACCTTGGTAATCCTTATCTGATTATGTTACCAAGACTAGTGTCACAACCTTTTCATATTCACTACATTTGACCTTTAATTTTCATATATAAATTGACTTGACAAGTAAATGTGTGATCAGATTGTTCGAAATGTATTGCGCAAATACATCACATCAGATAATCTTCGTCTTCTAATAGCGTTATTGAAATTTGATATAAGTTCTTTTGCATGAATGGATGAAATAAATAATTATCCGGTTAAATTCATTCGTAAATTAAAAATAGGTAATAAACTAGACCTCAGCAACAGTCATCTCTTGGATATTACTCATCTTGGATGAAATTACTAGAGTACTCAACAAATGCAATATCTGAGTGTTTAACAGAACATCAAGCACATTGCAGGGCACCCTAGTTCATTTGAAGGATGATATCACTCTGACTCAATACGGAAAGTCTGGAAGCAAAATCTCTTCACATAAGGTGGAATAAAAATAATCTAAATAATAATGAGTTAATAAAACAGTTTTACACTATTTTAAGTTACTCGTAACATGAACAAACAAACAAGAATTATGAAACGCGTGTACATACAAACCTCAATCTGTAATTCACACGCACTCTTCATATGGATATCATCTTTGTTCGAAAATTTGACACGGAAAAATCATTCATGCAGAAGAACACATTAAATTATCATATAGA